TCCCCTCCCCTCCCCCTCTCCCCTGGGGCCGGGGGGAGGCGGGCCGGGTTCCCGTGTCACCATGTCAGACTCGGAAGAGGAGAGCCAGGACCGGCAACTGAAAATCGTCGTGCTGGGGGACGGCACCTCCGGGAAGGTCAGTCCCCGAGCGGGCCCAGACCTGCAGGAGCCCCGGCGCGGCCGCGGCGCCCGGCCTTCTCCCCGCCTCCCGGTCTCGCCCGCCCGCCCCGCGCTCGGGGCTCCGCGCCGGCCTGGGGGTGGCCTGGGCCGGCTCGGGAGTGGGCACCTGCGGGAGGCCCCGAGAGCTGTCCAGCGCCCTGCAACCCGAGAAAAAAGTCACTTTCCAGCTCCCTGCCTGCCCCGCCAGCTCCTCCTAATCGGGATGCGGGGCCGCTTCGCGTCCCCGGGTTGCTTTGCAGCGAGTCCCGCTCTGAGCCCTGGCAAGGGTCTGCCCCGCCATCAGATCTCTCTGCACGGTGGTGCAGGCCACACTTTGCCCCGCGCCCCCACCCCCCCTTTCCGGTTTGTGATGCCGCCCCGGAACGGGGAGACCCGGAGTGCTGGGTGCCGCAGATTCCAGGGTGAGAGCTGGGGCTCCGTCTCCCTCTGGTCGGGTCATTGGGGCAGATCTTTCTTTTGCATCGACTGTCAAGCGGGTAGCGAGAGGGGTCGCCTCAGAGGCTGCCAGGTGGAGGGGCACCTGCAAGTGTGAAAATCCGCAACACGCTTTGCGCACACGGGGTGCACACTAGATCCCTCGCTGTATCTTCTGGCACCGCACCTGCCCCGCCCTCTGTCCCCAGCAGGGCACCTGTCAGCACAAGCATTCATTCACCCAGCAGCTCCAGCTCCTGGCCTGGGTGGGTGCTGTAGGCTGAGCTGCCATCGCGGCAGAGGACAGCTAACCGTTGGCCTTGGTTGGTGGAGTTGAGCGCTGGAGAGCGCGCCCAGGTCTCTCACCTCCCAGGATGGAGCTCCTGAGATGGAATTAATGTGGCCTGGTCTTTGAAATTTGGAGAGGCGCCAGATCTCTCAAGGGGGCCTGTGATCCATCCCCCAGGTGAAAGGAAGAGCCCCCCTGCGGGGTGCCTTCACATGTGGGGCTTCTGTCAAGGGGCTGCACTTTCTTGGGAATGTTGCAACTTTTCCCTCGGTTTCCAAACCTGAGCAGTGCAGGCTGTAATGTCACCAGCTTCCGGTTCAGGACTCCTTTTTCCATGTTGCTAGGCCAGTTTAGGACCCTGGTTTCTGTGGTGAGGACTTCTCTTTGCTTCCTTCCTGGAGGTTGGCACTGCCCATGTCTTTTGGGTTCCTGGACACGGTGTCTTTCAGATGCAAAATGTGGAGAATTCTGGTATTTCTTGCCTACTTGGATACTTTGTTGTGGACTTGATTGTTGAGGAAAGACATCCTACACTATGATTACTTTTAAGCATTTTCTTAAAGAAAGGACCAGGTATCAATTTACAAAGTATTATGTGGATTTTCATACAGTTAAGACAACTTTTTGAGTGGATAATTGTTTTACATAAATCAGCCCCATTTCTAATACCCTACTCAATAAAAACTTGTTATATTTTTAGTTTTCCCATTCATGTTTTTTGAATGTCATTTTTTTTCATTTCTTACATCTCTTTAGTCAACTCATTAATTGAACTCATTTCCTCTTTAAAAATATAATGACAATCTATAGGAAGAGTACACTTTTAAAAAGACACAAAAATTGCCCTTCATCCTGCCTGCTAATTCTTTAAACATTTGTTTTTCCAATTTTACCTGTTATCCTAAATGAACTCGTTGAGATTTATAGCTAGAAAACTCCACATCTAGATTTTTAACTTAGGCTGGCACATATATTTTCCCTTATTAATTTACTGTGAATAATTAGGGTATTTTGTTGTCTAAAATTTGGCGTGGTGTAGGATAAACCATATTTTTTTCCATTCTATATTGTGGAATAAGGAATTAGGGAATGCAAAATGAGATATTCTAACTAATCTATTTTAAAACCACAATTGCTTTTTCTGATAGAAGTTTCTGGATACAATAATCAGCAACCTAATCTTTCCCATTATTCTTTACCAGGCTTTTTTCACTCTAAACGAGCATTATTTCATTATGAAGCATTTTTCTCCATGCCTCATCCAGCTCTCATATTGTTGGCAGTTACCAACATTTCCATCTGATTTCTTTTCTCTCCCCATTTATTTTTTATTTGAATTCAGACTCTCTCATTCTTACTTGGATCTTGAATGTACTCCTGGCCATTTTTACTAGCATGAGTTTTTCTTGCAAGTTCTAAATCAGGGCATTTTTATATGCACCGACAGAAGCAATAGAGAAGCAATAGAGAAGCAATAGAGAATTGAGATGACCACTCTCAGATTCCCTAGAAATTTCACTCCACCCCTGGTTTTGATTCAGACTTCTGATTTTATGACATATTTCTTATCTTTTTTGAGGTGAAATGTTCTTTTTGGGTAACTTTATAGTGTTAGTAAATGTAGTATGCATAAAAATTGTTAGCAGAAACTCAGCGAACAAAAGCAACAGTCATAAAAGTGTTTCAGACGTGGTAAGTGACCGTTCATAATTTTTGAAGCCGGTTCTCGGTCGAGTGTCTGGCGAGCCATCGTTGAAGGTGGACCACGCGCTGGAGGCTGGCAACACAGAGGAAGCCCTCCCTCTGACGCAGCGCATCCTGCTCCTCCCGCGCACCAGGCGCTGGGGACGCACAAGAGCCCATTGCTGTGTGCCTTGCTCCCGGTGACCTGTGCTTCTGACAAAGCACACTGCTTTCCAGTTAAAAAACATAGCCGTGTGCTTCCTTCAGAAGTCTCAGGGTCAGGCCTTTAAAGTGCTGAGTCTTGTTTCTGACTTATTTCTTATTCTCCAAGAACTAGAAAAATACTGAATTTTGAAAATCTTAAACGAAGTGAAAAGTTACCTTAACTGGCATTTTGCTGCTGTTGTATGTGCCTTGAGTTTATGACTTAGAAAAGTATTTAGCCATGTGTATACATGTTGAAATACCAGTGCTAGTACGGGTAGTGTAACAGAGGCAGTGATAGCTATTTTTCTTGAGACCTCCAAACCTCCCCACAAACGATTTTGTTCTCTAAGTTAAAACAAGCTTAGTGGCATACATAATAAAACTCAGTGAGAAAAACAAAAGACTTTAAAAAGGAATGCTTAGTTTTTACACTGATCTTGTAGTTACTTTGTTATTACTATGTTTCAAGAAGCCAAACATATTTTCACTTTGGTACAGTGACTTTATTATTGTTTAGTAGAACATCTTTTCTATGGTCGTCTTTAATAAATATTAGACCAAGTATCTTAGGAATATATTATAGATGCTGAGTATTTAAATATTACAAGAATTGGGAGTTAGGATGTGCAAGTTGATGTCTGTGCGAAAAATATGGGTCTTGTGTTCAAATGGTCTTTTTGTTTAAATGAATGGAAATTTGGGTAAGTTGCTGCATTGCTGTGCTCACATCCCAGTTAGCTACAGTAAGGTTTCCTGGAGAGATTATCTTCATTTTTATTATTTTAACAGTTGAAATCTAATTTTAATTTATAAAATTAAAAGGTGCTATTTTTTCTTACCCTTTGGAAGCTGTCTTGAAGAGAGGAAAGCTTCATGAAGTTGCCTGCCCCTTCCTTTTGGGGATGCTTGCAAACAAATAGCTCACTTAAAATGTTTAAGAATGTTTTGAGTTTTTTACTTGTTACAAGAATGATTAGTCTTTTGGCTTAGTAAGCAAAAATAGAAAGCACCCAGGTTTTGAGTGCAACTTGAAATTTTTATTAAAAAAATGTGGATATATGCGTGTTCTCGTTATAATAGTTTTATGACTTATGTTTCTTGCTTGGAACATACTTGTGTTTGCCTGCTATAAATTATTCTTGAAAATACCAACTTCTCCGTATAAAAGATACATGTCACAGTCACTCTGGAGAATCATTTTCATTTCATATCTTAATTAATAAAAAAAGGGAGACAAAAATAATTTTCTCATAGGTGAAAAAGAAAAAAATCCTACAAGCGGGGGTCTTTCCCCTTCTTAGAATGGCTGTAGGCACAGATTACTTGTAGTGTTCAGAAATTTGTATTGACTTGATATGTATAAGTATATGTATATATAAGATTCAGATCTTTAGTGTTTTGTTTAATTTCCTCTGTTGATAAACCTCAAATTCTAATGTCTAACAAAGAGAAGGAGCTTGACAAGCAGGGGGCTTAATGGGGTCTACTGGATTAGTCTATTGTCTGCACCAGAGCTGCTGGCCAGTGAAATTTACCTGGTGGAGTGTTAAGTCCCTCCTCCGCTGTAACTGATGAGAACTGCTGTTGGATTAATGGGTGATAAGTTTTAAGATTTATGAATAAGATTTAGTAGTAATTTTATGTTACTTTTCCAAAACAAAGACATTAATTTTGCATCCATTTTTTAGACTTCCTTAGCTACGTGTTTTGCTCAAGAAACGTTTGGGAAACAGTACAAACAAACTATAGGACTGGATTTCTTTTTGAGAAGGATAACGTTGCCAGGTAAGAGACTGAACAGTGATCACATAGAAAATTGTGTATGTCTTCACAAATGAGAAACGTAGGTGAAACATGTAGAATAAAATTGGGGGCAGCTTCTGCATGAAAATGTATGTAACTAGTAAATCTGTCTTAAGTAAGTCAACTTTCATCGGCATCTACCATGAAGACATATTGTCCATGGATGTGAGAAAAAACTGCACATACTTCCCCTCACTCTCCCACTGTGTCTGACCACTGCATGTTTTTTGAGGACAAGCAATAGTTGTTTATAAAATTCTAAAAAGTTCAAAAACCCAAACGCTCTTCAGTTATCAACAGATATTGTATTAGTGAAACGGGAGAAGACTGGAAAGGATTGTTTTTTTAAATATTATTTTGATTAGCTTCTGCTTTGGTTTTTTGTTTGAGAGAAACTTGGAACAGAAGTATAATGTAGCTATGGAACTTCTGTGCTCTGATATGTGAATGCTGTTTTATGCAAGGCAGCATGAAATTGCTGGCATTTAATAGACCACTAAAATTTAGGGTCCCTAGGCACTCATAAAAATACAGTTTGAGCATTCAAGATGTTTCAGTTCACCATGCAGAGAAACTATTTAGATGCCAGTTGCAGCACATTTTGTGGGAAATACAGGGAAATAATAACAAAAAAAAGAGTGGTTTCTGTTTTAAGTTAGTTTCTGAACAATTGGGGCTTTAAAATGTTCTGTCCATTCACTTGTGATGGCTAAATTTTATGTTTAAACTATTTTTTTAAAAGTAGTTTATCTTGATTGGCTTCATAAGTGAGTGCATCCCTCTGCTCTCTGAGGAAACACATTTGAATAAAAACGTTTGCAAGTGTAGTTGCAGATTCCTGTACTGAGCTGTGAACCACAGAGTGGGAAGGGCTTAGTAAATTCCAGTGTTACTGAGATATGTTTATCAGCTATCCCATGATTAATTGAATGTTTTAGAGCAGCTAATGAAAACTATTGGTAGTTGAAGGTATTCTTCCGAACTCACTAGCCTGTGGGATGCTCTTCTATTTTGTGATGGCCTGTATTCGATTACCAATGAATATTAATTGGCAGATAGAACGTGAGAAAAATTTTCCAAATTTTCATTACTTATTGTTAAGCAAGGGATCTAATGAAAAACACATGTGTATTTTATTTCACTTCCTTGTACTATATTCAAAACTGAAAATCTCATTTAATTTTTATTAATCTCACTCCTTCGGATAGGTTAATATTGCATTCAGAATATTTATGGCAGCCCCTCCTGGAATACATAAAACAAATCATGTCCTCTGCATGCTGAAAACTTAATTTTTTTTTCTGTGAGGTCAGTTGTACAGAGTTCAGTATACTAGTTAATTACTGACTTTTTTTGATGCTTAATTAACAAAGGTCCCAACTTTCTGTATCATTAATATTCCTTAATTTTTTGATATTTGTTAGTTCAAAGGCTTGCTTAAAGTAGCAAGCACCTACTTAAACATTAAAAAACATTTTAAAACTGGTTTGGATTTTTGTGTATATGATATATAATTATTTCTGATCTTTTGCACAATACCTCTAACGTTTAAATTTTTATCACTTTGGTATATTTGAAATCTAAATTCATAGTGTAATATTTTGGGTTATATATATAATTTAAATACTTAGATTAAAAAATATACTTTTTATAAGAATATAAAAATATACTCTTAATGCATGTATATTTTAATTTTCCTGATTAAGTTTTTGTTTTGAAGGGCAGAGTTCCAGAAAAAAGATTTTTGTTTTTAAAGGCAGTTGGTTTTATGTTACTTAATGGACTCAAAATTATGGTTGAAATTCAGTAGGAAAACATGTATCTTGATTTTATAATAATTAATAGCTACATTAAGAAATGAGGTATATAAATTCCAGGGTTCATAATATATCCTTTATATAGTTTTAATTCATAGGAAATGTCAAATGTAGGATGGTTAATGTTTGTATCATTTGTTAAAACATTGCTGGTTGGTAGGCAAATCTAATACTTGTAGTACTGCAGTAAGTCTCTTTGTCCGTTCAGACTGTTAGGGGTAATACCTCCTATACGTCTACTCACATTCTCTTCGTGCAGGTTTTCAAGGTCATTTCTTTGCAAAGACTCATCCATTTTAGTTCTTATTTCATGATCCGGTATGCTGTATAGTCTGGATGCAGCCACTGTGCAGATTTACTGCTTAAAATAGTGTATCTGTTAGTCAGAGATTCTGCTGATAGAGCTTCTTAAGAGCCTTAGTCAAAATACTTTCAGGAAGCTTGTGGGTACAGTCCAGTAAACAGCGTTCTACTGTGAAAAGGATTTCTAAGTCTTAGTACAAGAAGTGGGCAGACTTGTGTTTTTAGTTCCATCTTGACTATGCAGCACTTTAAGTAAGGTTAACCAAGGCACCAAGTGTACTTTTACAAGGTCACTGTTGAATCCTCTTCGTGGCTTTGATTCATACCTAAAGCAACTTATCTGTATTTTGTCACCTCATTTATTTTATTTCCCCACCTAGTTACATGTCATTTCCTACAGAGAAGCAGACATTTTGTAGTATTTTGCATTTGGGATTACATTGCCGATGATTTTCTTAATGGTCTTTGTTAGTTAGATATTTATGTCACATGGATTCTTGATTTAAAAATTTTGCATTATTGGATATTTGAATACTCTTATGAGCTTTATAGGTATGCCATGTTGAAAATATACCAGGAGATTTTGTATGTTTATGCCCGCAAAAACTAAGATGCATTTTGTTTTGAATTTCATCATCTGATTTTATTTCCCAATAGAGAAGCTCATTTACGTTTTTCTACATTAATAAACTTACTAAATAGTCGAATGTGGAAGCAAAAAAATTATTTCTAGATATATGAAATAATTGAGGTTAACATATAATTTGTTGAAGCTGTAACGATAGTAAGAGGTTTATTTTGGCTCACTTGGTATATTAGCGGGTCATCAGTCAAGCATAGGTATTTTTATTTCTGATTTACTAGAATATGTATGTTAAACAAATAAACCACCACCAACAAACTGTATTTGCAGAGGTATGTATGTAAAAAGTGCCCTTAACAAATGAATATAAACCTCTGAGGTGGGAGGCATTTGAAAGAATGGTTTGGAGTTTTGAAATGATGGTAGTCAGGTCTCAGAGAAGGTAATGAAGATTGAGTTCCTAAAGGTTTGCAGCTGAAGTGCTCACGGCATCTTATTCAGATGGAATCTGACTATCAGAACTCCAGGAGAGAAGAAAGGGAAAACACTTATGTTTTGAGATGAAGTTACATGTTCAGGACTGTTGAAGGTTCTGAAGAAAATGCGATTTAATGCTTTTTATTGCCTAAAGTCCTGCTCTTAAAAAGGTTAACATTGTTAAGCACTGGTTTTTGGAGTAATCAAATGACTATAAATAGGTTTATAAGTAAATTAAATAGAATTAGTGCTGCCTGTTTATCTAGGGACTTTTGAGACTTGTTGATGTTTTCAGTGACTGCTAGCCCTTCCTCCTCTGCTTAATGGTTAGACAGTATTAATAAAGGACAATACCATATTTAGATTTCAAAAAACTCAAGATTTTTAGGAAATTGGGTTTAAACAAGTTGTTGGGTAAATCTTAGCTATGACACTTTGGTTTTTATATTCACAGGTTTTTAGAACATTTTTTCAGTCACTACTCTGAGAGCGTTGAGTGTGGTGTGTGTGTGTGTGTGTGTGTGTGTGTTGATGACGGGTGATAAACTTCAGTAGCTCTTGTTAGTGCTAATGGAAGTCCCTCATATAAATCCTCTGTAGGCTGGCAGATGGAACAGACCTACATCCAAATAATGGAAAGATTGTAACACAAACCCAACACAACTCAGAGTTAGGAGTAGGACTTGGCTGGTTAATTCAGTGTTGTACTTTCCTTTCAGTGGTTGAAGTTGAATGGTGTGACTGATACTCTTTGATTTTAATGTTTTACTAGCACTATAAAATATGTAAAATATGCTTTATAATCTCTGATTTTTGATTTTGAAGTGAGACAGTTTTTTAGTTTTGGGGCTTCTGAGTTTTCTTGATTCGCAAATCATGCAGAAAGTTGAACTTTTTTGGTATGGGAGCTCGTTTTGAAGGTACTAATTGAAACTTTGACTCCCTTTGGGGAAAACTACAAAATTTTATTGGGAGAAATAGATTGAAAAGTTAAACTAAAAATCATGGCAGTCATGGTCTTTGACCTTTGTAGTTTCCTCATTAATTATATTGATAAGAAATAATGTCTCATAAACTTTTCATTAACCAAATATTTTACAAAATGGACAAAAAATTTTAGAGATTGCCTTTTAGATTTTTAGAATGTTTTTATAATCCTTGTATGGGGAAGATTTGTTAACACTATTTTATGAAGGCTTTGAAAACACATAGATGTTTCAGTGGAAATGCTTTCAACAGGTATGAAAATATTTAGTGTTGAACTAGGTTTTATCCTATGTCACGTACCAAGAGAACTGCCAAATGTGTTTATATTTCATAGGTTAAATTTTAAAACATGATTTTCGATTCTTTTACCGCTACATATAACATCTTACATATTTAATTCAAATTAATTCATTTTAACGGAAAGTATGGGCACATTTGTAGTTTCTTATTGCTTTGTGAATTTTAGGACTTACAGAGTTTAAACTTATTGTAAAGGTCATTCGGCACAGTAGGTCTGGTTAGTATGGGAAATTTCGGCTTTAAGTGTATTTCTTACCTCACAGTGATTTACTATTCTGTTCTTTGGTTAGGATAATTTTTAAAGCTTAAGGATTTTATCAATTATAACTTACTTTATTTTCTTTTGTTTAGAAAGTGATTTTAAATGTGGTGCCTTGGGAAGGCAGTGGAAGTATAAACCTGAATTTCCCTCTTTCTTTTAGCAACACATCTGACTACCTGGCACTCCAGAATGAAAGGCATGAATAGGTTTGGTGTCTATCACTGTGGTTGTATTACATTGTTATATTGTTACTTGACCTTTTTTTAAAATCTTATCTATACATTTTTTTTTTTATGTTCCAGGGAATTTGAATGTTACTCTTCAAGTTTGGGATATAGGAGGGCAGACAATAGGAGGCAAGATGTTGGATAAATATATCTATGGAGCCCAGGTATGACACAAATACCATGATTATTCCAGTACTGAAAATACTTCCCTCACAAAAAGACATAAACTAGTACACACAGATAATTTCACACATACACACTCTCTCTCTAACTTGATTTTTATTGGAAGAATAGAGAGACAGATTTTATGTTTATGCTAATCCTTTGTTTTCATCCTCCCCCAAATTATGTTTGGGGGGATTTAGGAGAGGGAACTGCTGTGACCCTTAATAGTTTTCATATGCTACTTATACCACTAGATATTATTGCCAGTAATGAGTAAATGCAATGACAAATAATATTTTGATATTTATTAGCTGACTTGGTTATAGTGATTACTTTCAAAACATATAAACTGAATGAAAATTATAGAAGGGGAAAAGTTAATTTCAGTTTAAGTTATAAGGACAAAAAGCATATTTCCATGTATATAATTTTTGCTATGAATTAGTCTACTAAATTTTTTAGTTCTTCAGATTTAATAGATATATCAATATATCTGAAACGAGGTATGACTATATATGATGCACATACAATATTTTAAAGCAATAATGTATTTTTAGAAGAAAATCTAGGTAGAGCAAGAAATACCACTTGAATAATTATGTAACAAAGATACTGCGGCAGTGTGGCCTGATAGAAACTTATAATTTTAAAGTTGTTACACAAATAGAAAGTATGCATGGTCATAATATACATAAAAAGTCAATTATTGACATGTGATTTTTTAATTACTTGATTTTCTTATCATTTAATTAGTATGCAGTTTTTATATCATCATGATACTTTGGGGGGGGGGAATAATATTCCCAGTCCTTATTTAGGTCTTTATTGAAGTTTGATGTTTTAAGTGGGAGAACTGTAGTTTGGATAGGTGGAATAATGCTTTTCATGAAAAGTGAATAGATGAAAACACAGTGTTAACACTTTTCTCTATGAACTTTGATGCTAGTTAAATACTATTGCCTTAATTGTAGATGAAAAATAGATTCTGAATTACCTTGCACAATAATCAGGAAAGGATGAATGAGGTTTATTTCGTCTGAATCATGTAGAAAGGCCTAAAAACTTTATGTTCCCTTGTTAGAGTGATTTAACCCTTGAAATTCTTTTTTCTTTGCCTTTTATTTTACACTATTCTTTGTTTCCTGGAACATTTTTTATTCACTTAACATTTTCTTTTGTTACCATACGACTTGATGTCTTATGCATGTTCATTTTCTACCTTGTTTTAAAAGGCATGTCCCAGACTTTTGTATTTGACTTTTTGTTGCTTAATTTTTTCTCTTTAAAATTGATTAGTTTTAAATTAGATATTAAGGTAACAAAAGATTTCTGGATAGAGATTTGTGGAAAGTTGCAGCCCTTGTTTCACTCACCTGGTTGGTAGATGGGACTTGGAAAAAAACCAATTTTTTCCTAATTTGTCTCATTACAGTCTGTCTTCATGGACATATTTTGATTTTCTTAAAAATGAGAATTTGGTAGCCATTTTTCTAGCATAACAGTTTTTTATGGCTTATAGATAATAGCTAGAGTTAATGAAGAACAGCAAGATTTTATGCATCTTGTAAATAGTGTAAATTATGATTAATAAATTTTTCTTCACTTAAAGTTTAGGAGAGAGAATATAATGCTTATTAATTTTGTTTTCTTAATTTTACCTTCAAGTGATAAAACAATTTGTTATTTGATTTTTCTGAATTTAAAGTTTATTAAGAAAAGTATAACAATTAGTATTGATGTGAATATTCATGTAATAGAAAATATTTGAAAGTGTATTATCAGGTATTTAGTACATTCAGTATTGTGTGACCATCATCTCAAGTCAATTTTTTTCATGTCTATACTTTATGTGATTACATTGCAGCTTACAAATCAGTAAATGTTAAAGGGCAAATTTGTACAAATTTGAAAAAAAAATTTCTTTTGTGAGAGTACATGAATTTACTAAAATATCTCTATTCTCTTCTAAAGTATCTCACATCTTGGGAGGAAGAGAATGTTATATTCCTTAGAACTTGTCACATAAGATTTCTATTGTAAAGGTACATGTTAATTTTTTACTCTTGATTTTTTTTGTGTGTTTTAGACTTTACAGTAATATATGTGAATGTTACAAGTACATAATTTGATTAGTTAAACAAGTATGTTGTATGGCATTTCTGAGAAGTTTGTGAACATTTTCACTTGTCTTAAATTGATAGTAATGTAATAAATTTTGTCTGCTTTCTAGAGTTTTAATTAAACGCTACATAAAATAAACATAATACTTTTACCAGTAGTTTCTTTCATTTAAATATATGTTAATTTTATAACCAAGCCAGAGCAACCCTGACTATATTTACTACCATAAGTTGTGGTAAATCATACTTTTAAAAAATAATGTTTCCAAAGAAATCTAATAGGTTTTAATATACTTAATAGCTTTATGTTTTATGGCCCTATAATTATTTTTCACAGTGAATCTATACCATTTCTAAACTTACAGATGCTATATATTCCACATCTCACAAATACCTTGGATTTTGGTGTATATGTCATAGGGTAGAAACCTTTCATAAATCATATTTTGACAAACTGTTTTGAGCACATTAGTTTAATGTATTATTTGGAATATTGTTTTAGTACCTCTAATAGATTTTGTGTGTTAAAAGAATTATCTGGTCGCTGGCTATTAAGCTGCCAAGTCTACTTTTTTAAAGCATTTCTTACCATCTAGGAAGAAATTTATTTGTAGATTGGGAATTAATCATATTCAAATAAAATTGATTATTTTACTCTTTTCACTGTTTCTCCCCATAGCATTAAACTTTTGCAATAGTTGTAGAGTGTTGGTTGAAACAAAACTGAATTGACAACCAAGAAAGAATCAGTGAGTTATTTTGACAAGACCTAGTTCTGAGAATTGTAATGTTTCATTTAAATTCCCAGATTTTAAATTAGCTTAAAATGTTCTAGGAGTCTTCAAAAAGATGTTATAGACTATTTTTCAGAGTGGTTATGAGCAAATACACAGGACATAGTGTTTAGTGCCCTGTAACCTGTGGCTAACAGAGGCTAATAACAAACCTCAGAGAGGGACTGGGTGTTTCATTTTTGTAGCTCTTTCCATCCTGGAATCTAAGTGGTTTGCAAACACTGCCCTACTGAGCATAAGCTCAGTGAAGTGTAGGCATTGTAAGGTAGAACACAACTCCTATTGTGTGGCACTGCCCCACACAGATGAGCCAGCCTGTTAGCCCCCTGACGGGGTGCCTGTGTAACAACTGAGGGGAGAGAGCGTCTCAAAGCGCACTTCCCGAGAGCCTCGTTTGGTAGGGACTTCTCAGTATTTGCCAACTTATAACTGGTTATGCTTACAGACTGCTCTTAATCAGTGTTCCTCCTTAACACATCGGCACTTGCAAAGCGCAAAATACAGTTTATATTATAGGGCTATTAAATAATCTCTATTACTCATTTCTATATTCAATTAAAAACTAAAGTAGATTATTTGTCATATCAGGGAGAACAAAGAACTGCATTTTGGGAATTGGAAACTTTTCATTTTTGAGGTGGTTGTATAACTATGTCTGTTAGATTTTATAAATAAATCTGTGGAATATCTTATAAGACTACTAACTGTTGCCACCAGTGTTTGTTCTTTTTTTTTTTTTTTTTAAGATTTATTTATTCATTCATACAGAACTGGGGTACAGGCCAGAGATGTGGAGGGTGAGAGGATTCACCAGAGAGAGAATGGGGAGCAGAACAGGCAGATCGACGAAGTACACTGCTGAGGGGAGCAGCGGGCGGGTCAGGAGAGGTCTGCCTCACCATGTGGTCACCTCCGGGGCAGGCGGGGATCGAACTCATGCGGAAGTGGCTTTAGATTCTCAGTGCTGTGCCTTAACTCGCTGCGCCACCAGGGAGGGCCCCTGTGTTTGTTCTTTTATGACTGCTGTTATTCCTTTGAAAGTGGTATCTGTTTGATTTACTGACTCATCATGTTTATTATGCATGGCATAAGTGAATATATGAAAAAAATAGTATGTAAAGTAACTTCATGCATTGGAAGTCTTAAAGTTTACATAGGGAAGGGGGTGGTAGTATCTTCTGAGAATTGTAGAGGAAGAATATGAAGATTTGCGTAGAAAATGGGGGAAATTTTTTTGAAGACTTTGAAAATATACAGAATTTCTAAACTTGAAATCTGATTTCCAAAAGCCATGGAAAAAAGATTTGAGATGAGCAGCAGTTGGAGCATAAATTGGGAAGAGGAAGCACATGGCAGTGTGGGAATGAAAGACAGTAGCTGTGTGACAGATAGGATAAAGGGCTTCAAGCTGGGAGAGTGTGTCCAGGACATGAGATACGGTGATGGGCGAGAGCCACAAGAGCGCTCCAAATTAGTTGCAGCAGCTCTTCATAGATTCTTTTTCGACTTAAGTTGTCAAGATGTTTTGCATCTTGTGGCTTTTTTGTGTGTGTGTGGCTGAGAAGATTCTGATAGTTTTCCTGAAGGGTCAGAGGCTGTCTGTATTGACTCATGGATGAGTTTCAGGTCTTTGAGGCTCTCAAGCAGGTAAGTATTTAGAGGTCTGGCTTTGGTGTGCTGAAGCCGCAGGGTAGAGGTGCTCTGAGTCAGTAGCTGCTTATGTAAGTCTTGGAGCTGCTTGTAAAAGTCTTAGTCAGAATTTCAAAGAATCAGTTCATTTCATGTATGTTATAAATTTTTTTGTCTGAAAAATTCATGTTATTTTCTTTATGTACCTTTAATGTCTTTGGCATCAATAGTGATGATCCCTCATTAATTTCTTACATTGTTCATTTGTCTCTTCCTCTCTTACTAACTTGACTGGGGTCTGCCAGTTTTTGATTTTAATTTTTTACAATTTTCCCTCTTCAATTTCATCGATTTTACCCTACTTTGTCTTACTTTTCCTTCTGTTTGCAATAAGCTTAAATAATTTCTCTGCTTTCAAAAAGTGAAAGCTTAGATTACCAGCATTTCTTTTTTGCT